CCCCGGGGGGGGGGAAAGCCTGCCGGTGGCACTAGAACTTGGAGCGGCCATGGCAGTGCTATCATCTGCAATGGCCATTGTGGCCTGGGCTCTCTCCTCTTCCTCTCTCAAAGCCTCCTCATACCACAGTGGGAAGGCTGTGGGTTCACTCCCATAGATCTTGGCCAAATACTCCAGAACTTTCATCTTGCTGGTTTCAGCGTGGGCCCTTGGACCCCATAGGAACTCGTAGCAGGCAGGATCACTGCCGGGCACCTGCCTGTACTCCAGGTAATTCTCCCGCACCCATTCTTCAGTGAGGAGCTTCCCAGGCTCCCCATAGATAACATGCTCAATCCCTGCATATACCTCCATCATATTCAGCACTTCCCTGACCTTCCCCTCAGTGGCACGGTTGCCCTGCATCAAGATCACACCCATGACGATGACCAGAAGCCCAGTTTTGGGCATGCAGTTGTCATCACTAGGCATCCCATCATAGGCAAGGCCCAAGGTGGTGGCCAGGTGATAGGATTGACCAATGGGATCAACTTCCTTCACATCAATGCCAAAGACCAGCAGCAGGCACTCAGAGGCTTTGCTTAAGATCTCAGGGAAGAAGTCCTGGTAATTCTGGATCACACTACTCAGCATTTCCTCCTTGGTGGTCGGCTCCTTCACTCGATACTTGTGCAGCAGGAAGTGCACCAAGTCAGACACCTTTCCTTCTATCTCATTTTCGAGCGAGGACTCAGCTTCTGGCAGGGCCTGTGAGGAGCTCAGCCCCTCCTCTTCTTGGCCTCTGGAACCCTCTTCAGACTCCAGAAACAGAGCAGAGGTCATGGCAGTGGGGGAGCAGCAGGCTCTCTGAGGATACTGGAGAGGCTTCAGTGTCACAGCAGCAGCAGCAGCAGCAGCAACCTCTTCAGAGGTGCTCAAATCTGGAGGATAGCCAGAGGAGGAAAAGGAAGGTAACGAAGGAAAGGAGGAGCAGTTGGAGGAGGAAGCATCCTCCTCCACATTTAAAGGCACCTGTATACCCACAGTACCCAGTGTCTCACCTTGTGGCCCAAGGCCTTCCTCAAGTGAAAAGCGTCGACGCTTTGGAGGAGGAGGAGGCATGATGACCAGGGTTGGAGCTGCAGGCAGGAGTATGGTACAGACTAGACAAGGGATCTGCAGGTCTGGGGGAGAGAGGAAGTGTGTGAGTGGCATTAGTTAAGAAAAACACTTTTGTCGCTCTAACAAGGAACAACTTACAGGTCTTCCCTGTACATGGGTCCTCCTGCTGAGCCTATTCCCTGAGAACATGAAAGAAAGTGAGGTAGCTCCTCAGGGTGCTGGGGGCCTGCAGAGCTCTAGGCTAGAGAGATGACAGTAGGGAGGGTGGACAGGGTAAGGTGGGCTTCCCTTTACCTGGGCCAAATAGGACCCAGGGTTCACATGCAGGGCCTGCACCTCGCCTGGACCCCTGGCACTATCTGGGCCTGCTCTGGTAGTGAGGTGATGATGCTGCCTCCAACCAAGGTCTCTCACCTGTTCTCAGAACTCCTGTAAGAGTAATTGGGGAGAGTCCCTCAGGCTACAGAACGCAAGCCCAGCTCTGGGGATTCCAGCTCTACATGAGAGGACAGTCAGAATGATAAAGGTCTCCATTGTCCCGAGGTAGGTGGTCTGCTGGCTGCTCACTCAGGACCTCACCTTTTGCCTGGCAGAACCTAGACTGCAATCTGATGCTGGGCAGAGACTCTCTCAAAGAAAGAGCTCTCATTCCTGATGGGGAGCAGAAGGCACTGAAGGAACCGACACTGCTCTTCCCTGCTCATCTTGGTCCCTTCCTCTTATACTAGGCTCCTAATTTGTTAGACAAAGATGTGGACCTCAGAAAACCTGCCAGCTCCCATGTCAAGGCCCTCAGGGCTGATGTCAGAGGCAAGGTTCTGGTGTCCTCCCCCTTCTGGAGACAAAGCCTCCTTTGCTCGTCTATGATCTCATTTTGGTACCTGGAAAGGCCTGAGCCCACTCCTCAGACAAAGGCTTTTGGTCTGCCCAACCCCCAAGGTGGAAGTCAATGGAAAGTGTTGCATCTGGCCATCCTGATCAGGGCTTCCTATGGACAGAAGCCATTCTGTGGGGGGCCTGGCTTTCCTCCCTCACGAATGTAACCTTGGTTCCTGGTGCTGCCTGACCCACACTCTAGGTCTGCTACTCTCAGATGGAGGATCTCACTCCCAGGAGGCAGAATTGATTGGGAAGGGTGAGGGAGGTGCTCAGCCTGAAGATTCCTCATATCTACCACGGCCCACGACTCATGATGGGGGCAGAACTCCATTATTTGGGGTCCCACTTACTGGAGTGGAGGCTTTCTCAATCCTCCTCCAGCGTCTCACCTTCACTCCTACCTCAGCCACGGGCCTCTCCACTCCTCTTACCTTAAGTACAGCCCTCAGGAGAAGGTTTTCCCTGCCTCAGGCCACCAAGGCACAGTCAGCAGACATCACATTGAGCAATTCTGTCTGTGGCTTACCACAAATGACAGCAGGGGCAGAAGTAGATTCTGTTGAGGGCAGCCTCCTTTCTTCTTCAGGGATGTGATCTTGGTTCCTTGGCACTCTCTGCCCCCCTGACCTGAGTCTGCTCCCCTCAGACCAAGGCCCTCACTCCCAGGAGGGAGAAGTGATGGGAAGTGGGGGTGGGGTGGGCACTAAGCCTGACGATTGCCCTCCTTGGCCCAGGACTCAGGGTAAGGACAGAACTCCATTATTCAGAGGTTCAATCACTGGGGTGGGTCTTTCCTCTGTCCTCCCTCCCCATTCCCCACCTCACCTTGACTCCTTGCTCAGCCCAGGCCCTCTCCGCTCCTCTCACCTTAAGTGCGGCCCTGAGGACAAGGCTTTCCCTTCTTTCAGGCCACAGAGGTGTAGTTAGGGGACATCACATCCGGGTGCTCTGCCTGGGGCTTCTAAGGGCTGAGAGCAGGGACAGACACTGATTCTGGGGAGGAGAGCTCCTTTCGCCTTCATCGATGTGACCTTGGTTCCTGGCTGCCTGGCCCTGGTCCCCTGCCAACCAGAGTCTGCTCCCCTCAGACTCAGGCTCTTATCTGCATAGTCCCAGGAGATAGAGCTGACAGGGCCTGACTGTCCCCTACCCCCAGCGCATCCCAGGGCTCAGGGCCAGGGCAGGGCAGCTTAATGTATCCAGCTTCCTGGCAAAGGTCTTCCTCAGTCCTCCCTGGCCATGTCACCATTACTCCCAAGTCAGCCGTGCCCTCTGAACTCCTCACACCTGAAGAGCAGCCATCAGAACAAGCCTTCCCCTACCTCAGGCCACAGGGAGAAGTCGAGTCCCTGGACACACGTGCTGCAGTGTACGGGGTTTCTGCCCTGCACGGGGTTTCCCAGGGCTGGCAGCAAGGACAAAAGTCGATTATGTATCCCTGCAACACTGACAAACCTACCTTGCTCAGGGATGAGACCTTGGTTCTGGGCACTGCCTGATCCCTGACTTGAGTTGATTCTCTCAGACAAGGCCCTCATGCCCAGGAGGCAGAAGTGAGGGGTGAAGGGGGGGAGAGATAAAGTGGGGAGAGGTGTGGAGAAGGTGAGGGTAACTGGGGGGAGGTGTGGGGCCAGGTGAGGGAATGCAGTGGGCGCTCAGCCTGAGGGTTCCCCACTCCCCATGGCCCAGGGCTCATGGCGGGCAGAGCTGCGTTATTCGGGGTCCGACTCCCTGGAGCAGGGCTCCCTCCGTTCTCACTCATCCTCTCACCCTGACCCTACCTCCCTCCCAGGCCCTCTCCGCTCCCCTCACCTGAAGCGCAGCCCTCAGGACAAGGCCTTCCTCCCCTCAGACCACGGAGGCTGAGTCAGCAAACCCCATCAAGGCCCACCGTCCAGTCGGGGCTTCCCAGGGCTGACAGCAGGGGCGGAAGCCGGTCCTTTGGGGACCCCTCCTCCCTCCCTCCTGGAGGTGACCTTGGTTCCGGGTTCTGCCTGACCCTGACCTGAGCCTGCCCCCCTCAGACAGGGCCCTCACTCCCAGGAGGAAGAACTGAGGGAAAGTGGGGAGAGGTGTGGGGGGAGGTGAGGGAGTGTGGAGGGCGCTCAGCCTGAGGGCTCCCCACTCCCTATGGCCCAGGAGTCATGGCGGGCAGAGCTGCGTTGCTGCTTCGTTATTTGGGGTCCGACTCCCTGGAGCGGGGCTCCCTCCGTCCTCTCACCCTGACCCCTCCCTCCCTCCCTCCCAGGCCCTCTCCTCTCCCCTCACCTGAAGCGCAGCCCTCAGGACAAGGCCTTCCTCCCCTCAGACCACGGAGGCTGAGTCAGCAAACCCCATCAAGGCCCACCGTCCAGTCGGGGCTTCCCAGGGCAGACAGCAGGGGCGGAAGCCGGTCCTTTGGGGACCCCTCCTTCCTCCTTCCTCCCTCCTGGAGGTGACCTTGGTTCCGGGCACTGCCTGACCGTGACCTGAGCCTGCTCCGCTCAGGCCGGGCCCTCACTCCCAGGGTCCCAGGAGGCAGAGCTAACTCTGGTATCCGGGTGTGGGAGGGGCTTGGCCTGAGGAGTCCCCACTCCCACTGTGGCTCCGGGCTGCATTACTGGGATGGGGCTCCCTGCGACAGCACTTCCTTCATCCTACCTGGGTCTCTCACCCTGACTCCTAACACAGCCTAGGACCTCTCTGCTCCCCTCACCTGAAGTGTAGCTCTCAGGACAAGGCCTTCCCCTCCTCAGACCACGGACAAAGAGTCAGGGGACAGCACATCCGGTGCCCTGCCCAGGGTTTCCCACGGATGACAGCAGGGGCAGAAGCCCATTCTGTGGTGTTCCTGTCTTCCTCCCTGTGGGAAGTGACCTTGGTTCCTGACTCTACCCATATTCCTGTCCTTTGACATCCACCATGCGCCCTTGGAACCAAGACTGACTTCAGAGCCCCCTGGAGTGGTAGTGTGTGAGGAGAGAGGTTGGAGATGGCTCTACCCAAGTTTTTCCAGGGTCACAGCAGGTGCTGAGCCAAAATTTTTGAGGTCCTTCCTGTCACCCTGTGTCCTGGCCTTGACACTTGTACAGCCTGAACCCGTGCCCTCTGCTCACCTTAGTCTGCTCCCTTCACTCCTCACTCCCAAGGGTCTTGTGTTGGTTCCTGGTTTTTCGATTGAGGGCTCCGAGGTACCTGTCCCCCCACTCCCAGAGCATTTTCCCAGCTGCAGACTTTGCAGAGAACAGCTGTGGATCCCACAGCCAACCGTCCAGTCGGGGCTTCCCAGGGCTGACAGCAGGGGCAGAAGCTGCTCCTTTGGGGACCCCACCTTCCTCCTTCCTCCCTCCTGGAGGAGACCTTGGTTCCGGGCTCTGCCTGACCCTGACCTGAGCCTGCCCCCCTCAGACAGGGTCCTCAGTCCCAGGGTCCCAGGAGGCAGAAGTGAGTGGGGCGGGGGGGATGAGGGCAAGTGGAGGGAGGTGCAGGGGGAGGTGAGGAAGTGTGGAGGGCGCTCAGCCTGAGGGTTCCCCACTCCCTATGGCCCAGGAGTCATGGCGGGCACTGCTTCGTTATTTGGGGTCCGACTCCCTGGAGCGGGGCTCCCTCCGTCCTCTCACCCTGACCCCTCCCTCCCTCCCTCCCAGGCCCTCTCCTCTCCCCTCACCTGAAGCGCAGCCCTCAGGACAAGGCCTTCCTCCCCTCAGACCACGGAGGCTGAGTCAGCAAACCCCATCAAGGCCCACCGTCCAGTCGGGGCTTCCCAGGGCAGACAGCAGGGGCGGAAGCCGGTCCTTTGGGGACCCCTCCTTCCTCCTTCCTCCCTCCTGGAGGTGACCTTGGTTCCGGGCACTGCCTGACCGTGACCTGAGCCTGCTCCGCTCAGGCCGGGCCCTCACTCCCAGGGTCCCAGGAGGCAGAGCTAACTCTGGTATCCGGGTGTGGGAGGGGCTTGGCCTGAGGAGTCCCCACTCCCACTGTGGCTCCGGGCTGCATTACTGGGATGGGGCTCCCTGCGACAGCACTTCCTTCATCCTACCTGGGTCTCTCACCCTGACTCCTAACACAGCCTAGGACCTCTCTGCTCCCCTCACCTGAAGTGTAGCTCTCAGGACAAGGCCTTCCCCTCCTCAGACCACGGACAAAGAGTCAGGGGACAGCACATCCGGTGCCCTGCCCAGGGTTTCCCACGGATGACAGCAGGGGCAGAAGCCCATTCTGTGGTGTTCCTGTCTTCCTCCCTGTGGGAAGTGACCTTGGTTCCTGACTCTACCCATATTCCTGTCCTTTGACATCCACCATGCGCCCTTGGAACCAAGACTGACTTCAGAGCCCCCTGGAGTGGTAGTGTGTGAGGAGAGAGGTTGGAGATGGCTCTACCCAGGTTTTTCCAGGGTCACAGCAGGTGCTGAGCCAAAATTTTTGAGGTCCTTCCTGTCACCCTGTGTCCTAGCCTTGACACTTGCACAGCCTGAACCCGTGCCCTCTGCTCACCTGATTCTGCTCCCTTCAGTCCTCATGCCTGAAAGTCCTCGTGTTGGCTCCTGGCTTTTTGTTGAGCGTTCCTAGGTACATGCCCCCTCCCTATCCCTGAGCATGTATGTGCACAACCACAGCCTGTGCAGAGAACAGTTGTGGATCCCAGTGCTGGGCGGGGAGAAGAGAAGGCCCTCTGCACCAACACCCAGGGAGAGCGCACACCTTTCCTTTTAGAGGATTTATTCTCTACATCAAAGAAACTTATCTTATGTATCTTCTAAATATGTAGATAAGTGGCTTTTTTTTTTCTACCTAAGTGTATCTTTCCTTCCTCCACAAGATTCACTCAATTGTTTTACTTGTATCTCATTCTTTATATTCTATCATAACTACGTTTTAAAAGGCAAGCCCTTACCCACTGAAGTGGTTTCTGATAGTTATTAGCACAGGTCTGGAACAAACCCTTTCTTTCAGGCTGCCTTGATGTCCCAAGTTCCTGACATCTGTGGTACTAGTTGCTGCCTCAGCATGTGCAGTGAAGGGAGGGCAGTAGTTTAAAATCTTTCCTCCTACCCAGCCTGACATCTGCCATCTGTATTAGCCCGGTATTGGCTCTCCCCAACTTTCCTGCAGCTGCACCTGGCAAGCACCAGGAACAGGGCAGCACAGTCTTCAGTCTCCCCTGCATGTCTCCTGTTTGTTGTTTAGATTGTATTAAATCAGTTTACCTTGTTGATTTCTTTCTCCCTCCTGTAGTTTTCCAGGGTTGATTTGGGGAGCAGCAGACAGCAACCAGCACTTGATTGTAATCTTGGCATCTACATACAAGGCCCTAACTTGTAAATCACTTAAGGAGGGTTTCAATTTCACAATATTCCGTTCCCCTTCAATGAATGTTGTATGCTGTTCTGTCCATCTCACACTCCTTTTATCTGAATCTATCACTATACTTTTACAGTTGCCTCTATTATTTTGATAGGCTTATTTTTAGAGAGTTTTTGGAATTTTGTTACTACAGATATTACAAATGGAAGATTTGTTACTGATTGTTCTAGCTAGTTATTGTATTTGTGTGGCAAAGTTTTCAATTTTGTTATATATCAATTTGTTGTACACCTGTTACTGATGCCTTATTCACATGTCTATTCTTTTCAATTTTCAAGATAGTTAATGATACTGTCATTAAGTGTTATTTTTCCCCAGAATAATCTGCTCTGCACCTGGTACTGAAGCCTCACTCACATGCCTATTCTTTTCAGTTTTCAAGGTAGTTAATGATATCATCGTTAATCACAAATTCTCCCCAGAATTCATACCCCTTATTAATTTTGATAATCATAGCTCTGGCTTTGTTTCTCACTGCTATTATGAAATGCAGAGGTGCTAGCATACATCTCGGTCTTGCTCCTGACTTTAATGATAATTCCTCTGACATTTAAAGGTGTTTGCTGTTGGTTTAAGGAATTGGAAGTTTCCTTTTAATATTCATTAGCTAAATGTTTTGTTTTGTTTTGTTTTACCAAGAACTCATACTGAATTGCTTTCAACGGCCTTTCTGTACCCAATATCATAATCAAATGTTTTTTTCTACTGTTTTATAGGTAAGTAACTATAATGTAAACGTTTCTTTTTGTAATATTAAATCATATGTTCATTCCTTGACCAAAGCTTGTTTGTTTACTTAATACACTATTATGTTAAATATGCTACTAATGTATGCAAGATACTGGCTGGTTTGTGAGGGAGCCCATCTCCAGTGTTTTATTTTGTTTTCTTCCTTTTTCAATTTACTGTAGGGCATGTGTATCTGCCAGAGAGAGAGGGAAAGTGAGAAAGCACCCCCCAGAGGGGATGACCACACCATAATCCCTTCTCCTCTATTCTCCTCTTGGTATTTGGGACACACACAGATACACCGTTCTGCATGATTTTCAAGCCCTCAGATCCAGGACTTGAACCAAGCGGTCAGTCATGTGAGATACAGCTGTCTAAACCTGTGCCACCTGCCTGGCCCTCAAGTGTTCTCTTTACACAGGTTTTGAGTTCAGAGAGCTAGACTGAGAAAATAAGCAAAATTATCTATCTTTTTGTATGGCTTGGAAGAGCTGCTGTAAGATGGTGGTCAGTTTTCCCTGGCCATTTGGTTGGCTTAAACTTTAAATACAGTTTCTGTTTGTATAATTTAATTTCAGTTTTCTTTCTGTACAAATTTGGTCATGTATTTATTTCATTTCTAAAAATTGGTCAGTTTTGTTTAGGATGTCACATTTAATGCCATGACTTTTTATAATAAAAGCCTTTTTATTATAGAAAGGTTCGAACATACAAACTCATAGAATTGTGTGATGAACCAGTACACCTGATGCTCAGCATCAACAGCCATAAATACATGGAAAATCTGGTTCCAGTTAGACCCCCACCTGTATGCCTTTCAGACAT